GTCCAGGGCAGCATCTGTTAGCTGAAATACGTCAATTGTTATACCATCTATTCCTGAGGCCTTAATTCTTGCTATTTCCTTCAAAGCAGCCTGGACTTGTTCCTTCATCACCATAGGCTCTTGCTCATGTTGTTTCATGAAATTCTTCTGTCTGCCAATTCCTTTCGATACAGTAACTCAGCATATTCTTTCCATCTTTTTTTAATACTTCCTGGCTCATTTAATATTCTGCCTAAAGCATCCTTGATTATAGCAACTACAGGTTTGAATTTGTTCTTCAGTTCCTTGAGCTTAAGAAATGCCGAGCAAGTTTGGTCCTTTTGATTTTCTGACTCCAACTCCTTGCACATTTCATTGTAGTATTTTACTTTGTCATCCTGCGCTGCCTTTTGAAATCTTCAATTCAGATCCTTAGTATCTTGAATTCTTCCTTCTGCTTTGGCTTCTCTGTGCTCCAGTGCAATATTAAGAATCTCTTCTGACATCCATTTTGGTCTTTTCTTCCTCTTCTGTCTTTGCAATGACGGTTTGCACTCTTCCTGGATGATACCCTTGATATCCTCCCACAACTCATCAGCATTTTAGTCTTTGTTCTAATTAAAATATCTTTATAGAAGAGATAAAAAGAACTCCCAGGTGACCATTCTGAGAAAAACCTTAAAACACTTACTATCAAATTAAGAATAGGTGGTAGAAAGCAGCAACTTGTTCCAAAGACACGAGGGTGGGTAGGATGAGGAGAGTGAAATGCAGAACAGGAGGTTTATGTACAGAAACAGATCATGCCTTTATAGAGGAAGCAACGACAAGTGTGGACAGGGGAACTGACTAGGAAGCTGAACGAGGAAGTCTTTTGGAAACAAGTTACACAGCTGTTCTCAAAACAATGCAGGTGAGATGTAAAATAGCTTGTCAACAAAGATCACAGAGGGCTGATAAATACAAGAGGCTCATCACTCCTATTCCAGGCCTGGCACCAGGGCCCCAGATGGAGCCCACTGGACAAAGCAGCCGAGGTTCTTCTGACCAACCTAACTTGACCACACAATCCAGAAGGTGCCTGGCCCCTTTCCAAGGAGGCGCTACTGCTTAGGTAGCATGTCTGTGTCTCGACAAACCAAGTTCTGCCACCAGGAAACACCAATAGTGCACATGAATAACAGCACAGCACATCGTCTCGAGACCCCTGTCCTGAAAACATGCTGACAGGATCTGGGTGGAAATGTGCACACGGATGGCTGGACGGAGATGGACATGAGTTCAGGCCGTGTGCTTTCCAGCTTGTGCTCCATGGCCACATGCATGCCAGGCTGGCATCACAAGTGCGGATCCTGACAAATGCCCATCTACCACCCAGAAACCTTCACTCGTGGGGCCAAGCCCATGTGTGCTCATTTGTCCTGCAAGATACTCCTAGGTTTCAGGGGTGCTCCTCCTGTGAGTCCGTGATGGCTGGCTTGGTTGAGGGGTGCTCTGCACTGGAGTCTGTGACAGAAGGCCAGTTTTAAGCGTGTTCTTTATGTGAGTCTGTGATGGGTGGCTTGGTTGAGGGGTGCTCCTCACACGTACTGGAACTTCCACTGTGGTGTGTTCATGCCTTCTCATTTTAAGTGTAAGGTGATTAGACACTAATTATGCTCCCTCAAGCCAACAGAACTCAAACTCAGAAACTGCCACCAAGTCAGAGCCAGCTCCCAGCTGACCCTGCACTGGTTTCTGAGGCCGCAAACCCTACAGGAGGAAAATCCCCAGCTTTCTCCCATGGAGCGCCTGAAGCCGAACCACTGGAGGTGCAGCCTTGGCATGAGCAGCGTCACTCTCAATGGCCCACACTGTCAGAGGTCCCAGCGATCATGTCAACAGTCTTCTGTACACAAATCAAACCACCTACAGCAAGGGCACACCTGAAGAGAGTGCTGAGACAGGTGAACCTGAGATCTATAGGGCGAGGGTCTGGCCACACCTCCCGAGAACCTGTCCTTACAAACCTGGAGAGATATGGGGCAGGCTGCAGACTGAAACATTCTGCAGAGACCATGACAGTGTCTTCTTCTACCTGATAGTGAATTTGCACGCCACACGTGTCAAACGATCACTGTCAAAAGTGCTATTCACTGAAAAATCAAGAAACTGAGAGAAATGTCATCAAGCTCCAGGTGACAGTAAAGTCAGAAGTGCAGGGACCACAGCACACTACAGAACCCCTAGTGCTAACAGACACAGAGGGCTGGCATGTTGGAAGGTATGCAGACCCTCCAAGGGCAGAGATCACTGTCCACTCGAGGGCCAGGGAGCTGCAGCCTCACCCCCACCTCTCATGTTGCCAATGGATCCCTTCTCAAGAACAAGGCCCAGTCTCCCGAGCCCCCACAAGCCTTGGTGCCAAGACCTGTGCCAGAGCATAGCATGTGGTCAAGGAGCAGAGCCCAAACACTGACAGGAGTGCCCCAAGAAGGTGTCCTCATGCCCTCAAGACCACTGTGAAGACTCCACAGTTCCAGAAAAATGGCACAGCTTCTGGCTACACCTTGGAAAGGAGCAAGAGCCTCGCAGCCCCTTTGGTGAACCAAGTGTGTGCACCACTGAGCAGAGATGCATGTGGCTGACCAAGGACACAGGTGAGGAGGGTGGGTGCTCTGGACAGATGCTGGCGTGTGCGTGGCTGGTTCTGCTGCACCTGCAGCCTTGGTGCCCCACCCTCAGGTAGCTGTCACCGTCAGCATGACAGGCCTCACCTTGCGAGGGGCCAGGTCCCAGGACATCCCACAGTCGACAGGGGACAGCTAACTAAGAATAGAAAAGATCTGTTTCTGACAATAAAACTTCCGGGGAGGGTGTTTTGGTCATTCTTTTAAATCAGAGCAGCCTTTATTTTCAGCAATGCTGTTAGAAAAGGCGGGCAGGGCCCACTGAATGCGGCTCTCACACACAGCACCAAAATATACATTAAAAAAAAAATAAAACTCACACAGCCCAGCCCTCACACTCATACACCTCCCCAGACGCCACACAACCCCAAACCAAAAGGGACAAAAACCCAACTCAAGACCCTCACAGGTAAGAAGTCTCTGAATAAGGACTTACAAATGTATATATTGTCCTATGAAAAAACAAACACAAACTAAGGGGGCAAGGAAAACCCTTTGGACGCAATCCTGACAAGCCTTAGAAAGCCGTGAACACACTGTCTGCCTCTAACAGGGAGAAAGCAGCAAAGCTGTGCTCTCCATGCGCCTGGAGAGGGAGCTGTGGGAGGCTGGCGTCCCGGGACAGCCCTCGGCGCCGACAAGTCCTCTGGCAGCCAGGCCCTAGAGCTTGGGGGAAGAGACAGACCAGGGGGCACCCAGGCCACATGCCATAAGCACAGTCCACAATCAGTTCCCAGTGTGGGAAAGGGCCATTTTCCCCGCCAAGAAGGTGCTGATTCAAAACAAGGTGAAAGGGGAGACATTCTCTCTGAAGTCTCAATCTCCTGGCCAGCGGTGGCTAAGGTCCGGGCAGTGGCCTTGTGTGGGCCGCCGAGAGGGCCCTACTTGGGCTCCTCAATCACACCCTTACTGAGGTCCGTCATCTTGGGATACTTCACCTTCTTCTGGTCCAGCTCATTCTGAGCCCACAGCAGTAGTTTCAGTAACTTTGCCAGCTTGGGGGTTGACTCACGGTTTTCATAATCCAGGACAGCTTGGTTAACTTCACTCCACACCTGGAAAACAAGGAAGCCAAGGAAAATAAGGGTATGAATCAAACACCAGAAACAGAGCAGAATTTGGAAGGCTGTCCACCCCAAGCAGGTGGCACCGCAGCCAGGCATGTGGTAAGGCGCTCGGGTCCCCAGGCCCAATGCTGCCACAGAGCCCCGAGCCCCACGCCAATGCATCAGATGGGATCTCTGAGGACACGTGCAGCACTTCAGTGACGAGTACACGTCCTGTCCTGAGAGCTGGGGTAATGCAGGCAGAGGGAGCAAGTTCAGGGAGGTGAGGAGCCATCAAGATTGGCTGGCACATTGAAGAAAGAGTAACGGGTTCAGAAGAAAACCTGGAGATTTTAAAGGAAAAAAAAATCCAACAGTTGCCTATTTCTGAGAGAAAGGCCAAACAAGGAGGTATCAGCAAAGAGGGCCGAGAGCTGTGTGATATACTCAAGTGTAAGCTAGCGCGCAGATCACCGCATGGCAGCTCCTGGTGAACAGAGAAGGTTTCAGATCAGGGAAGAAGCCACAATAAGCACCGTGTGCTCCCAAGTTCCTGTCTCCCGAAGCGCAGGCCTCGTGGGCCCCTCACCTTCTGTCGCTGCATCATGTTGAGCAGGTCTCCGAAGGGTGACTCCTCGGGGCTGTCGAAGGCCAGAAGAGCCAGCGTGCGCTCCATCTCTGTCAGGCACTCCCTGCTCTCCTCACCCTGCTCAGCCAGCTGTGTCTGCGCAAATTCCAGTGCGGCCTCGGTCTCCCGCTGCCGGATCAGCTCAATCAAATGCTGCTGCTGCTTGGGGGCAAAGACAGTGGCTGAGGCCCCCCTTGCCAGTGGTCTCCAGTGCCCCTCAGAGGGCAGCTTCCCAAGACCTCAGAGTGGGGACATGGTCAATTTTAAACAAGAAACAGTTTCTGAGATGCATGACAAATAGCTTCAAAGTCCCTCCCCATGCACTTGAAAGCAACACCCTCTTCATAAAGGTCATGGTTACTTCTGACTGCTCCAATCAGCCCTACTCAGGAAGTCCTGTGAGTGGCTGCGGCGCACCTGCAGGTGGAAGTACGCACAGGTGGAATCTGTACCTGCAGGTGGAAGTACAGGTAGCGGTTTGTGTCCAGGAGCTCGGGGTGGAGGCTGTTGATGAGTGCGATCGCCCCCTGGATCTGGCCTTTGAGGATCATCTCTCGGATTCGGATTCGCTCATCAAGTGTTTCAAGATCCACGCTAGGTTCAATCCCAGACTCCATTCGGAACTTCTCCGCTGCCTCCTTAAAGCCCTCTGAACATGGAAAAACCTTCACTGCCAGGAATGGCAGTTAGAACCACCACCAAGACTTTCCACTCCTGAAAGCCAGTGGCCTCAACTCCCCCACCTCCAGCCCTCTCTCAGGATTTAGTATCTTTGCCATTTAGTACTTGAGATTTAGAAAATGAAAAGAGCAGAACTCATTCTCTCCCCTTCCCCTACCCCATCCACAGACACAATGGGGTCCACAGACATTTCAGCCAGAGGCCACAAGGAGGTGTGAGCACTCGGTGTTTCAGGAGGGCACCTTCCAGAGGCTCAGAGGCCGCAGAGTGGTTCCAGTGACTCAAGATAGACTGTGAACACTTGTAAGTCTGTAGTGCCAGCTCTGCCTGAGGTAACCTGTTGACTGTCCTCTCCTGGAAAGTCCACAAGTCATTTTAACATTAAAGACACGACATGTGTAAAGGCCTGTATGCCGTCATCACTTTTCCAGTGTTTTTAAACTGGGGGAAAAGGGCTAGGGACTAAGGAGGAGGAGGCAGGCTTCATTTTCTCTCTTTTGAACACATATGGACTTTCTTATTCTCCGTCATTTGTGACACAGACAGAGAGAGCGAGAGCGAGTGTGTGTAAGACAGACAGAGAACGTGAGACGTTCTCTAAGAGCAAGTGCGCACGTGAGAGAGAGTGCACGAGCAAGCCCTAGTGGCACTGTAAGCTAAGCACCGGGCGGCTAACCAAACAGATGGTGGTTCAAATCCATCAACCATCAGACGCTCCACAAGAGAAGGTGAGCAGTCTGCTTCCATGGAGATCCATAGCCTCAAGAAGCCTGCGGGCAGTCCTGCTCTGTCCTGCAGGACACAGAGAGTTGGAATGGATGCGAATGCAGTGGGATTTTTGCATTTCCTTCCCAGTACCAGTGAGCTCTGTCAGGGCCTTAGGACAACAGAACACTTAATAGCTTCTGGCCAGGACATGTCAGCTAACAAGACTTAACATATTTGAGAAAATTCTTAATTATCTTCATGTGTGGCTACAAAATTGAGAGTCAAGAAATTCAGTCCTTTTCTGAGGTCTTAGAGACTCGAGTACCTGTTATCCTGGAGAAGCTCACCAGGACAATGTGTCTATTTACTGAGCGTTCACACTGTTTCTTGAACCTAACAGAACAGTGTCCTGGAAGCTGAGTGGCAGAGCTCTGCTTGCTGTACAGAAAGGGAAAACCCATCCGAGGACGAGGCAGCATTACCTGTGACAAGGTAGTTCATGATGAGGCGGTTCATGTCTGCTCGCTGAATATGTAAGTTATTGAGTTTTTCCATCCACTCATCTTTTGTAATTTCATCAGGCTTTTCTGTATAACTCATTCTGACTTATTCCTACATGGAAAACAAAAAACAATCATTATCTTAATGAAATGAAGAACTCTGACAATCATGATCAGATCAGAAATAAAGAGTCATTATCACAAAGAAAGAGGCTGCACACCAGGAAGCAGTCTGGAAAGCAAGGGGGGGGGGCAGAGCGCCAGGAGGCAAAGTCTGGAGTAGGGAGGTCAGCCAGGGTCAGCTTGAAGGAGGACCTGTGGGCAAAGAAAGGAACTCAGATTCTGGTCTATATGCAAAGGACAGTCACTGGGGAGTTATAAGCTCAAAAATACAGTATGGCTCTCTAAGAAGAGGGCAACGAAAGTGAAGAAGGAAGCCCCTGCCCCTCCCAAAACTGACACCAAAGCAAAGCATTAAAGGCCAAGAAGACAGTCCTGAAGGGCATTCCACGGCTTCAAAAAAAGAAGATCCACACATCACCCACCTTCTGGAGGCTTAAGACACTGAGACTCTGAAGGCAGCCCAAATACTCCTGGAAGAAACCCTCCAGGAGAAACAAGCTTGACCACTATGCCATCATCAAGTTTCTCTTGGTCACTAAGTCACCCATGAAGAGGACAGAAGATAACAACACACTTGTGTTCATTGTGGATGCCAAGGCCAATAAAGCACCAGTTCAAATAAGCTTCAAAGAAGCTCTATGATAATGGACATGGCAAAAGCTAACACCCTGATTAGGTCTTATGGAGAGAAGGCCTATGTTTGACTTGCTCCTGACTATGATTGATGCTGTCAACAAAACTGGTACCATCTAAAATTAATCCAACTAGCTAATTCTAAATACAAATTTTTCTCACCCCAAAAAACATACACCATGAAAGATTCTCACCACTGGGCTAATTGGCAGCATCATGATAGATGGAGGGGAAAATTGAGATTGTTAACAATTTCAGCTTGTTTGACTCCAAGATCAACACTCTTGGCACCAGCAGTCAGGAAATCAAAAGATGAATTGCATTGGGGAAAAATCTGCTGTCAAGGACCTCTCTCTCCAGAGTACTGAAGAGCAACAATGCCAGTCTGGAGACCAAGGTGTGCCTGATCCAAGCCATGGTCTTCTCATTTACTTCTTATGCATTGGAGGCCCGAGAAATGACTAAGGATGATAGAAAAATTGATGCCTTTGAGTCCTTTTCCAAGGACTGACCACTCCAAACAGTATACCCAAAATATGTGAGATGTAACTTCACCATCCTAACCTCCCTGACTGCACTTTCTTCAAGACACACTTCTCTGTTTTCTTGACAATCCAGAGAATATTCAGTATTCTTCTCCAAAACAATTCAAAGGCATCATTAATTATTTTTCTATCATCTTTATTCTTTGTCCAACTTTCAGATGCATAACAAGTAACTAAAAAGACCAAAGCTTGGATCACGTACATCTTAGTCTTTAAATTAATGTTGTTCTTTAGGACTTTGAAGAGGTTCCTAACAGAAGATTTTCTCAATGCAACATTATCCTCTGATCTCTTGAGTGTTGGTACCCACGGTGTTGACTGTGGATCCAAGCAGAAGAAACGGTTTACAACTTAAATCTTTTCTCTATCTATGATGATGTTGCCTATTGGTCCAGTGGTAAGAATTTGTGTTTTCTTGATGTTAAGATGTAATCTGTATTGAAGGCTGCAGTCTTTAATCTTTTGCAGCAAGTGTTTCAAGTCCTCACTTTCAGCAAACAAGGTTATATCATCTGCATAACACAGGTCGTTGATGGGTCTTCCTCTAATCCTGATGCCACATTCCCCTTTGTCATGTCTAGCTTCTCACATGGTTTGCTCAGCATACAAACTGAATAGGTATGGAGAAGGGATACAGCCCTGACACACACACATCTTTCCCGAGTTTAAATCATGTAGTATTCCCTTGTTCTGTTTGCAAAGAGCCTCTTGGACCAGGTATAGATTTCATGTGAGCACAAGTGTTCTGGGATTCCCATTCTTCTCAATGTTAGTCATAATTTGTTATGATCCATACTGTTGAGTGTCTCTGCTAGTCAATAAAACACAAGCAAACATCTTTCTGATACTCTCTGCTTTCAGCCACGATCCATCTGACATCAGCAATGATATCCCTGGTGCCATCACACCTTCTGAACCCAGCTTAAACTTCTGGTAACTGGAATAGATCCACACTATGTTCCCGTTCCCAAGAAAGGTAACCCAACAAAATAGGGAAATTATCTAACAATATCATTAACATCTCATGCGAGTAAATCTTCCTTAAGATAATCTAAAAACTAGAACAGTACCTCAATCACATAGACTCACTACACAGATAGAAATTCAGAAGTCTGACAATACAAAGTTTGACAAAGACACTTAGTCCTGAACACTTTCATACTGTTGTCAGACAGCTCTGTGAAGATGAGGTGGCATTCTCTGTAAGGTGGCACATGTGCACTCCTTTTGTCACCATCTGACTCAGGGCAAACCTTCATGTAACAGAGAAATTATTGTCCCGTGTGGTCATCAGCATTCTTGAATCTACTGCTCAATTTACCTGGGAACCCACATCCGGCTCTACACTGGACATTATTCTATTTCACAGAGTTGCCATTCCCTACTTCTCACAAGCTCATCAGACCTTTCTTCCTCCCCTGCCTTCGTTTGGAAGCTCCTCTGAAGCTTGTCCACCGTGGGTGACCTACTGGTATCCAAAACACTAGTGACAGAGCTTCCAGCATCCCAGCAGCACACAAGCACACAAGCAGGAGATTGTTCCTCACAGTCCAGTCACCCTACCATTGCTTGAAGTAGATTGCTGCTGCTGCTGCTGTTGTGTGCCGCTGAGTCAGAACTGACCCATGACGCAGTAAACTGCATGAGAGGCGACCATGCAACCTTCTCCTGGTGGAGCGACTGGTGGATTCGAACCTCTTGTCTTTGGGGTTTCAGCTTCTTACCACTAGGCCACTAAACCTAGAAAACTCAAATCTGCATCGGGGTACACACAGGCGTATTCACAGCAGCACTGTCCAAAACAGTCCAAGCGCTGCAGGCTCTCCAGGCCCAGAGACAGGAGGGCAGCACACAGAACCTACATCCAAACCACCAAGTCAATTGTTCTGGAATTCAAAATTCTTCAGTGTTTAGCGCAACCACACAGCACAATTTACGACAAATTATAACATCCTCATTGAGGTCTGAGGCAAGACCCTATAATCAAACACTTCTTCAAAGCAATGTTCACAAGTGTTCATGCTAAGTAGACTACAGGCTACAAAACAGCTTTACTTAGGGAAAGTTCTACCCCAACTAGGTTAAAAACAAAACCAAAAGTTGTTGATATTCAGAGCTATCAGAACTTAACACAGCCATTACAGTGGGCTCAGAAGTTATAGTCACAAAGATGATCCTTAGAAATCAATGCGAAATGAAAAAATTGCAGAGACCTAAGTGTGGCACTGCAGCTTTGTAAAAACTCAAAGTAAGGCAAATGCATGTGGCTTCAATATAAATGTCTATGCAGCAAGACCAAGTTTCTAAGGGTATGAATACACCATGGACTCCTAGGAGAACAAACGGATTCGCTTGGAGACAGTGAAACCAAGCTGCTCCATGGAGGCATGGATTCTGAAGCTCTGACTGACATTCTTTGGATATGTTGCAAGCAGGGACCAGTCCTTGGAGAGAGGTGTCATGCTTGGAAGGGTGGAGGAACAGTGGAAGACCCTTGATGAGATGGACTGACTCAGTGACTGGGGTAATGGAGGTAGATGTGTGATAGACAGTGAGGCTGGCTCAAGACAGAGCAGGATTCAGAGCTGTTGTACACAGGATCTCTATGAGTCTCAAGTGACTCGATGGCAGAGAAAACTCAAAGGGTGCTCACCAGTGGGTGGTGGTCACATGTGTGTTCATGCATATGTGGGGGTGGCATATGATGTCCACTTCACTTTTAGGCTTTGGAATTACATGCACAGTATGGATATTACTTTACACACAGCAAAGTAAACGCTAAACTGTTTGAATCAAGACAACTGAAGAACAGCTCTGGTTTCCTGGTCCACCGTGGTTGGATCTGAGCAAGAAATAGAAGATGTTTAGGTGGAAAAGGATGGCCAAGTGGACTAGGAGTGAAGAAGAGAGGACAGACATGCCAAACCAGACTCCCTGGACACGGAGCCACGGGACTTGAGGGCCTGAAAGTGGAGCGGTAGGAAGGATTCACAAAGAGAGGGTGCCAAGCTCCACCCCTGGGTTCTGAGGCCATGGATTAGCAGCACTGGGAGTGCAACAGGTCTGAGAAGCAGGGCAAGTTCGGGGAGACTGCGAGACAAGCAGGTGGAGAAGTCAAGCAGGTACCTGATTACAGGCCCTGAGCTCAGTGCCGGGAACATCAATCACAGAAGTTTCAGGCAGGCATCTGGCAAAGATCACTCAGGGGGACGTGGTGGGCACAGGCAGGGCTCCCGGTTCTTGGAAGACGATGCCCAGATACAGGGGTTTCGGGGAGGCAGAGGCATCAGCGGCCAGAAGCCCGGTCTTAGGAAAGGCGGTCAAGCCAGGCTGTGCGTGGCTCAGACACGACCTCCCGCGCTCCCTCTCACCCAACCGATGGCTACAGGTGAGCGGCATCACCCGCTAGGACGAGGTGCGGAGTCGCAGACATTTAAAGGTAACGTGCAATCACGGCCTCCAGCAGCGCAGGACTGCGAGGAGTCCAAACTGACCCAGGAGGCCTGACAGCAGGGAAAGCCGGCGGCCACCGTAAGGACATTACGAAAAGCCCCCTAGCAGAGACCCCCTTTCTCGGTCTCCACTGGGAAACCGGCGACGGCGGAGGGTTTGTCCCTGGGGGCGCAGGCGGGCACGGAGGGCAGCAGCGTGCAGGACTGCCCCTCCGTCCTCTGCAGCAAGAAAAACCTAGCTTCCGACATTTGCACATGGGCAAACCCGCCAGCACGCAGACCGGTCCCCGAAGCCCGGGGCTCCACGCCGCGGAGCTGGTGCCCCCGGCGGCACAGACGCTCCTGAA